TTTGCCGACATGTGTAAAGGATCGACTTCGACATGTGTATGCACATTGACTTACCACACCGTATCCGTCTCAAGATACTTGATGAGATCATCGCACACCTTTTCCCGATCCTCAGGCGTGGCAAAGCCGTCGATAGCTCTGGCAGCCAAGCTAGTCTGTAGCGTCAAGTGCGAGGATGAGCGGATGCAGACGGTGTCTATGCATTAGAGAGCTTCCCACACGGCGCGATGTACTGACCAAAGGCAAGGTAAAACTCTTCAATATCCGTTCCTGTTCGGCCCACTCGCGAGCGATGAGACTGGCCAGCAGGGGTCTATCTTGCGGAACAACGAGCAGAGCGCCCGATGGAGTTTTCAAAGGTCTGCCGTCCAACTCAATCGTCAATCCTGCAGCTTGACCTTTGGCTTTGGACAGCGTCACCTTGTTCCAGAATCGACGTTTGGTCAAGTCTGCCCGAGCTGTGGCTGAATCTTGCACGTCCGCTCGTGCTGACAGACCAGAAGAGAAGGGTCGAGCTGAGATGAGGCTGGTGCGAAGAGATGAGCGAGATGTGGCGTTGATCGATGCTGCGGCAAGAGCGAATGGAGCAGAGGTCGGCGTGAGATCCCTTTGAGGTGTCGAGTGAGCGTGCCTGGCATTTGCGATCGTGCCAGATGATCGCCCGGCTTCGATGGATTGTCGAGCTTGCGCAGCAGCACCTTTACAAGGACAGCTGACTCGAATAATGGAGTGACCCATCTGGGTCAGCGGTCTAAGGCCGGGGAGCGCAGAGGACATTGCTGCTGCTTAGCGCTCAGCTCGAATCGAAATTGGGTCCAGAAGTTGCGGTTCGACCAATCGCAAGTATGCGAGCGCCAGTGAAGACCTATGTGCGCGCAGAGCGAGGCTTACGACTGGTCAGACGGTGGATCAGTGTGCGGCTCGTGGGTCGTTTCCCAAGTCATCGATGGTGCGATGAGTTGATGACCTCTGGACCCCCCAGGCAGTTGATTGTGAATCTTCTAAGCTCTTGATCGACCAAGTAAGTGCGTGCGCGTGCATGCGTGCATGCGTGCATGCGTGCATGCCATGACCATCGCTCGCTCCCGTGCGTGAGCCAGAGAGTGAGTGAAAGGTTTCCACGTGCTTGCTTGCGCGTGCGCCCTCGATCCCTCTCGTCACGCAGCGCAGCAGAGCAGCAGAAGAGCCGAGCGCGCGTGCATGCCGCTCAATCGTCAATCTTCCACACAGCAGACGAGCATCAGCGGCGGAACGCGTGAGTTTCTGTGGGCACAGCACAGCACATGTCACTCCAGACTCTCGACTTGGGCGCAACGGACATCCTTCTCGCCCATCAGCTTGCCCTTCATCCTCTCCCTACCGCTCACCTGGCCGCAAGCTTTGACTCAGTGAACGAAGTTCTTACACTCCCCCGAAGCTCCGTGGAGCGCTCACCACCTCATCGACCTACTGCTTATCACCCACCTATTGGCAGTCTTCTTGGCCAGAGGATGTTTGGCGGAGGAGCAGGGCAATCGACGGGTTTTGGGTTTGGTGCTGCCAACAATCAGCAGCAGCAGCAGGGCGGTGGAGGAATATTTGGGGGTGGACAGCAGCAAAATCAGGGAGCCAGTAACCGTGAGTATCTTTGCCCACTGAATGCGCTGACCAAGTGAGGAGCAGGCGCCGTCGCGGTCCAGGGCGTAGGAGCTTCTCTCTGATTGCTGAGCAGATCTCAAAGCGACTCAGCAGCAGATGGCGGCGCGCAAACTCGCGGAGGCGTCCTTGAGCGTGTTGTTGCCACCTCGAATGCGCCTCATCTTGCTTCTCTGACATCTGTGTCCGGCTCCTCCTTGCTTCCATCCTGCTGTCTTCTCAGCATTTGGCCAACCAGCTCAACCGATGTTTGGCCAGCCTGCTGGGTCAGCTGCCTCAAATCCATTTGGTAGCACGGCTCAGACGCAGCAGCAGTCACAGCCGTCTACCAGCTTTTCATTTGGCAGTGCTGGTGCTTCGACTGCTCAGCAGCCTTCTACCTTCGGTGTCCAGGCTAACAAGCCCGCTGGAACGTTTTCCTTCGGAGCTGCCAACACTGGACAGACACAGAGCTTTGGATTCGGTGAGTGATTGCTCAAGCGCTGTTGAGCTCAAGACAATGCACGACGCAGCACACAGAATATCTTGTCATTGCATCGATGAGCATTTTACGGCAGGGCTGACACCACATGAGTTGCGCGATTGAACAGGTGCCCCTCAGCCCGCCCAACAGCCCGCTTTCGGAGCTGCAAACAACAATCTGTTCGGGCAAAAGCCAGCCGGCGGTGGGCTCTTCGGCTCCAATCAGCCAAGCAGCACTGGCAATGCTCTAGGTCAACCTGCTCAGTCCCAAGGCGGCATCTTCGGCGGCAGTGAGTACGATTGGTGTTCGATCAATACAGCTGCTGACGCTACGATGGCTCCCATCAGCGAATGCGCTCGCAGGTCAAGCAGCCATGCCCACTCAGGGTACCCTGAACCCACCTTATCGCGAAACGGTCATTTCGGAGTCGGACAATAACAACTCCAAGGTCGGCGACTACAAGTACACCGCGATAACCATGGCACCTGCGTACAGAGCTGCATCCTTCGAAGAATTGCGTTTGCAAGACTACCAGCAAGGGCGCACAAATGGCAATTCTGGACCATCGATTGGTGGATTTGGCGTACCTGCTCAGACGAATCCCTTCGGACAGACCTCTCAGCAGCAGCCAGGTGGAATTTTTGGCGCGCAGCAGCCGCAACAGAACAGCATGCCATTCGGCCAACAGCCGCAGCAACAGCAGCAGGCAGGGGGAATATTTGGGGCCCAGCAGCAGCCACAGCAGACTGGTGGAATCTTTGGCGGCAACACCGCTGCAGGACAGACGGGCGGCATGTTTGGCCAGAACAGCCAACAAGGCCAGCAGACCGGTGGATTCTTCGGTCAAAACAACGCCGGCCAGCAAGGTGGTCAAGCTGGCACGTTCGGAGGATTTGCTACCACTACGCCTCAGCAGCCTGCCGCTAACTCATTCGGAGGGTTTGGGCAGCAAAACAACACACCAAAACCGGGAGGTCTGTTCGGCTCCAACAATAATGCTTTTGGCGCACCTCAACAACCCCAACAGCAGCAAAATACATTCGGCTTTGGCGCAAACAATAATCAGCAGCAGCAAGGCCAACAACAAGGCACCTCGACGTTTGGTGGAGGCACAAGTACCTTTGGAGGTTTTGGCAATACCTCTTCGGCACCCAAACCAGGGGGTCTCTTTGGTACAGCACCTGCTGCCTCCACTGCACCGTCATTTTCTTTTGGTGCCACAAGCTCTGCAGCTGCGGCACAGCCCAACAAGCCCGCGTTCAGCTTCGGCGGGGGGACAAACACGTTCGGCTCGAGCGGTGCGACCACCGGATCCGCCGCTGCTCCATCTCAGGGCCTCTTTGGACAAAGTCAGCCAGTGACCACCAGTCAGCCGGGAGGCGGTTTCGGCAGCACGGGCGGATTTGGTGGCAACACCACGTCCCAGCCTTTTGGTCAGTCGCAGCCGGGCCAACAGACCAATCAGCCAGCAACTTCTGGCTTCGGCTCTGGTGGATTGTTCGGCAACAAGCCGGCCACGAGCGGTGGTCTCTTTGGCCAAAATCAGCAACAGCAACAATCCGGCCAGCAGCCTCCTACTGCATCGACTTTTGGCGGATTTGGTGGTAACAACAACAATCCGCCCGCAGGGCAAGGCGGTGGCTTGTTCAGTGGATTCAATAACGGAGCGAACAATGCCACAAAGCCGCTCTTTGGAGCTGCATCCGCTCAGCCGTCAGGCGGTGGCTTATTCGGTAATGCCGGTGCGAGTCAGAGTACTGGAGGCTTGTTTGGTGCGCAGAGCCAGGCACCAGGCACAGGTGGCCTGTTTGGCCAGAGTCAGGCTGCTGGCAACGCATCAATGTTCGGAAACACACAGAATTCGGGCACGTCTCTGTTTGGCAACTCTGCACAAGCCCAGCCGGCGCAGCCTCAAATGCCGAATTTCCAAGCTAGCCTCGTCAAAGACCCCTATGGCACCGATGCTCTTTTTGCTCAGCATGCGCAACCCAAAGCAGCTGATCCGGATGCCGGTCTGGCACGACAACCGTACCTGCCCTTCAACGTTAGCGCTGACAAAGTGCCTCGCAAAGCTATTCCTGCCATCCGACCTTTCAGCCCCAATACGAAGGGTGCGGCACGCTTCACCCGTCTGCGCGGTACCACGCCTGGTTTCAGCACTCGCGAGGACACGCCGGGTCGCGAAGGATCACCTTCTCTCTTCGGTTACGGGTCTGCAAACGCGCGAGCGAGCCCAGCGAAGAGCCTCTTGAGAGGCCTCAGTGATGATTTGCCGGCTGCGGATGGCAACCGCGCAGCTTCGCCCGGACTGCCGCTTCAGGCTTTCAATCGCAGGAGTGGAAGCGTTCGTCGGTTGGTGCTTGACGACGATGCTGACAATCTTGGCGGCAGTCTCTCCACCAGATCTCTGTTTGGCTCCACCTCGAGAGCTGGAAGTGTGGTTCCAGGCTCTAGAAAGAGCGCCACGCCTGGCGGTGATTCTCTGTTTGGCACACGTGGAGGCACTGCTCCACCGGGTCAAGAGTCAGCACCGCGCGTGGCCTTCAGTCCCGCGCTTGAGGCGGGCGTGGCGACAAGCCGTAGGCCCAACTTGGCCGACACTAGCCGTCTGAGCGGAGCTGCGGACTCCAGCGTCAATACGTCTGTCTTAGGCGGACGAGCTGGCGCGGATGTCGATACCCCAAGCAGACCACCGCTTCGAGAGGTGACATCTGCTTTGCCCTCTCTCACCTCGACGAGGAACCGCAAGGACGATGCGTCGGCTCCTACTACCGACCGGGAAGATCATCTGCCTTTGAACTACTACACTTCACCGCCTGTGTCGACCCTACAGACTTACAGCAAGCGAGAGCTTTCTGCGGTCAAGGACTTTGTTGTGGGACGTCACGGAAGTGGCTCCGTGCGATTCCTCGAGCCCGTGGACCTTTCGAGCGTTCCGGACTTGAACCTCATCGCAGGTGGAATCGTCGTGATTCGCTCACACGAGACGATGGTGTACCCCAAAGAAGCAGAAATTTACGTTGGAGACACGAACGAATTGGGCGATGGCGTGCTGGCCGATTTCGAACCCGACGAGATGCATTACCCACCTGTGGGCGAGGGACTGAATCATGCCGCTCTCGTGAGCCTGCAAGGTCACTGGGTGCTCGACAAGGCTACGCGCAAACACATCACTGATCCTTCGCACGCTAGGGTCAAGCAGAGGATCGCGAAGCTGAAAGCCGTACCTGGCACCCACTTTGAGTCTTACGATCCCGCAGAGGGCATCTGGCGTTTCAGAGTTGATCATTGGAGCAGGTACGGTCTGGATGACGACGATGACGAAGATGAGGAGGAAATGCAGGCTGAAGATGCGAAAGCAGCTGCTGCCCGACGCGCCAACACCCCGAAGAAGAGTGTTGGCTCTGGAGTTTTCAGACCAAGACGCGCCACATCCGCAAAGCCCGACCACGCAGATGATGCGGACGCGCATTCGGAAGCATCTATGCGTCTCAGCGAGCTGCGAAGCCCTGAGCCAGTCACCGCACGTGACACCGAGGATGCCACACCACGCTTTGTGCAGGCGCGCTTGCGAGCGACAAAGTCACCGACACCAGTCGGCCAGGATTTCGAAGCGTCATCCAGACGCATGGCACAGCAGCCTTGGGCCGCAACGCTGGGATTGGAACCGAGGCGCGTGCAGGTCATGCAGGCAAGCTTCTTTGGGCAGGCGTCGCCTGCTCAGGAGACCAAACAGCAATCAAGTGGGTCCGCTCTTCTCGGCAACCGCAAGCATGCGCGTCGAAGCTCTCATGGGGCTGCGCCGATTGCCGCCGGCGTGAGTTGCGCACGATCTTGCTGCATACTTCGACCGCTGTGGCCCTGACCCTCGTCCACTCCCGTGCATACAGCGCTCGACGTTCTCCACGCCAGCTTCTGCTCCGGTAGAAGCGCCTTTGACCGTCTCTGCGCCTATTGCCAAACCGCAGAAATTCTCGAGAACGGAAAACACCAGCTCAATCGTAGCTGGTGCTGAACGCCTGACGATTGATGCTGGTTTGTCCATGGGACGCAGCTTCCGCGTTGGTTGGGGACCGGATGGAACTATTGCCCACATTGGCAAGCTCTTCGTTGGCACTCAATCAGTGGCGTGAGTTCGCATGTTCTCAGCGGCGAATGGGCAAAGGGAACATGTTACCAGACCCTTTCCGTCGAATTTGCGAATGATATGAAATTCATTTCCACTTTGATCTGACGTTGATCTGCCTGATTTGTTCCCGTGCAGATCTTCTTCGCGTCGCACAGATAACTTGCCCTCTTCTGCTGTGCGCCTCGAAAAGTTGCGTCTCTTTAGCGATCCCGAGGTGAGCCTGGAATCTTGCCATCTTGCGAACTGACGAGCAAGTAGTTTACGTCGTCGATTGTTGCATTTTCAAAGTCTGACGCAAAAAACGCGAAGAACCTGCTTGAGCGGCAATTTAGCCACACTCAAATCGATACAGAGGAAAAAGAGGCAGAGGAAGGGGAGGAGGAGGGAGCTGTGATTGAAGCGCGCCTCGAAGATGCGACAACGCCCCTGGCCTTTTTGCGGCCTGACACGCGTTTCAAGCATTTCGCTTCGCTTTTTGAGGCCAACGACCGTTCACACGACGCAACGATTTGGAGGCTAGGCGCGGCGCTCTTTGACGAAATCGACCTCCGGCTCCCAGAGGATGCGCCATCCGACACTTCTGCCACTGCGTTGAGCATCAGACGTAAGGCTGTACTCTCCGCCACCCTTGCTCATGCAGTCTCCAACACGGTGGAAGTTGAGGCGCGCTCATGTGTCGCAGCCAATCGACCTGCCGCTCTCATCTTTACTCATCTCACTGGGTACCAAATTGAGAGGGCGTGCGTAGCAGCTATCGAAGCTGGTGATGTCCGACTCGCAACTCTGGTGGCGCAGGCTAGCGGAGGCGATGAAGAGACGAGAGCAGACGTCAATGACCAGCTGACCGTCTGGAGACAGCAAGCGGCCCTGGCTCATATTTCCAACGATCATCGGCGAGTCTATGAGGTTCTGGCGGGCAACGTCACACTCTCCGAGGGCATCGACGCAGCTCAACAGAGGCGCGCAAATGACCCCGTCGATCGAGCGGACGACATTCAAATCCCAGCCGAACTGGATTGGAAGCGAGCTTTTGGACTCCACCTGTGGTATGATACGGCGCACTCTGACCCTCTCAGGTCTGTAGTAGAACGCTACGAAGCCGCAGTCGGTGGTCGAGGTGGCACTGCGCCTCCTTTACCACCGTACTTGGAATCTAGTCAGAAAGGTTCGCTCCAGCTGCGCTCGACGATGCTAAAGTCTGACTATGCTAGAGATGCTCTTTTCCAGCTCATCAAGCTTTCCGCGAACTCCGACTTCCAGCTGGAAGACGCTCTCCGCCCAAGAGGGTTCGGTGCTGCTCTTGCAGACCTCCGACTGCCTTGGCATCTCTACCAGCTGCTCTCCCGTGTCCTGCGCATTCGCGACTTTGATGACAGATTGGACCTGGGCGTCGAGGTAGAAGAAGAGGGCATACAAGGCCATAGCTCGCGTGCAGACAGCTTGACATCCAGCTACGCCTTCCAGCTCGAGTCTCTTGGCCTGTGGACATGGGCAGCATTTGTTCTCTTGCATCTCGAGTTTGAAGCAAGCCGCGAAGCGGCGATCAAGGCTTTGCTTGCCCGCAACGTGCTCAAGATCACCAACGAAGGATCGGAGGAGGAGGACTTTTTGCTGTCGCATCTGAGCATACCTGAAGCGTGGTTGCACGAGGCGAGGGCGCATGAGGCTTGCTACCGCAACGATCGGTTTGCTCAGTATGAGTCGCTGCTCGCGGCACGGGACTATGCCTCTGCTCATCGCGTAGTTGTGCGTTATCTTGCGCCGGAGGCCATCATCCGTAACGATTTGCACGTACTCGTGAAGCTTTTCGCCTCCTTCACCGACGCTCATCCCAACGGCGGCCTGGACGACCTGCCGGGTTGGAAATTGGGGGGCCGCGTCTACCTTGACTATGCAGCTTGCATCCGCCAAATTCCCCACCTGGTGGGACTCAACAATCAGAATCGACTGCCACCGCCTGAGAAGGCTACCCTCGCTCGGCTCGTGTCGCGCTTGGCAGAGCTTCTCGAGCTCGTTCCCGGCCTCTTTCAAGACGTAGAAAGCAGCCTCACACACAAAGTGGCAAAATGCGAAAGTGAGTATCCCGTGAGCCGACTTTGCCATCGGCACGACACATGGAACTTGACTGACGCCCATCTTGGATGTGACTGCGCTGTCGTAGTGCTGGCAAGTCTTCACAACCTTGCTCGTGCCACGCAGTCCATTTCGGAAGTGCCATTGGCCCCGTGGGACAGCAGCGGCCCCCCTCGCACAAACGAGCTGCAATACGCGGCCAACGAGCACCTAAAATTGCTGATCGGGTCATTTGCCTAACACCCAAATGCCAATTATGACCGTCTTGATTCAGTGGTATGGACCTCCCGCCGCTTGAGCTAGAGTAGTGTCTTCGGCTGAATTAATGTTGGAATCAAGAATGACCGCTCATTCGACAACAGCAATGATCAATGAACTTCTCGGACATTCTTGCGTGCTTGTCTGATCTCGAACCCATGTACTGCTCCAACGCTTTAGACGCGCATTGTCTCTTTGAGGCGACGTCAATGACCTTCGCTGAGCACGACGAGAAATTGTCTCGAACAACTCCGCTGCTTGATCATGTTGGAGTGCATCCTCGTGGACTTGCATGCATTCCCATGAGCTGTCGGTGGCAGTGAGGAGCACGAGACACCGACACGGGGACATCGGTCGACGTGCAAGAAGAAACGCGCTAAGCGACACCACCTTCTCGCTTCCCGTTACGCATGTACGTGACGACATTCAGTGAATGCATAGTCATAATGATTCGATAATGGCGACTCTTCGCAGTCAAGGGTATAGAGTGCTGCCATCGGCTATGCAGTGGTGAGTGCCCCTAGGGAACGGCTAAGGTAGCACTAAAGAGGCTACTTTTCGCGTTTGCGATAGCGTGCGGGCCAACACGAGCAGTGCAAGGCTGTGTGGCTTTAATTGCCTCGTTGGCGTATTTTCACCATGCGGTGATCTGCGCGGTCTTGCAGGCATGGGAAAATGGTATACATGGCTTGCGTAACGAGATAGCAAAGCGGAGTCGGTGGACTGGATCCGAAAGCAATGGTGGCCTGCCTTGCTTTGCGTTGGAGACGAGCATTTACGTGATGGTGGAAATGAGAGGGTCAATCGTGATTGAAACGAATAAAACAGTAACAGTAACAGTACCGCTCTCACGCATCACAGCCTCTTTCCACTAGCGGGTCTCGAACGTGGTGGCTCGCATGAGCGGGTCAACGAGCTCACCTTCGCAATCAGCTGGTGATGGCGCTAATGTGTGTAGCAGCGCTGCAGATTGTGATTGCGGCCGCGCAAACGCCCACGACCATGAATTATTATTGATATTATTATTGTTCGTTTGTTTAACGAATGTTATGGCGGTCCTTTCGCGCTCAAGTAATCCTTCGTGCTCCTTGGCCACTGCTTGGACGCCCTCCGAGCTCTTCCTTCTTCAGCATTACTGGTAACATATTTCGTCCAGCTCATCCGCAAAGAACGCCGAGATTCCATCTTTGTGGCTTCGCTCAATGCAATCAGAAGCCACACGGCAACAAGTCTAGATGTGTATAGCTATTTTGGTCCTCACCAAGTTCAACAATCACGATTGCCGTCTCTCGACAAGGAGCGCCGAGCTCTGGACACTTTGTAAGCAATGCCCATCTGGTGCCGCAGCTTGCACAGGTGACAATGTACAAGAGCGGTAGCACCACTGCATGCCTCGTCAATCACACGGGACGCTCACATTAGCGGCGTTCGCTTCGCCTGGTCTTGCTCCTCTTAGCGCATCGGTATCTTGCAGCACAGCATTGGAGCGTGAATTGAGGGAGGATTGTCGTGCCTCGACTTTTAGCGGAGCGAGTGAAGCATCTGGACCCTTCTTGCTGATGGCTTGAAGCTCTTAGCGTCCCCTCTTGCGCTCTGCAATCACAATGCGTAAAGGATGGATTGGATCCGTTTGACGTCGCTACGTACACGTGCACATTGACGGCGCGATGTGAAAAGTCGAAGCAGAAGAGAAGGGAAGGCTGCATAGCACTACTCTACTGGCATGCAGTGGCAGGCAGCGGGTCGAGCGCGTGGTTCTTCTGTGTGAGCGCAATCAGTGGATCACGCCGTGACTGCCATCCATCATACACCACGCGCTCTTCCATTGCGCCGGGACGCGGAAGGGCGATCCTCACAAGGTCAGCGGCTGCATGGAGCACTGCGAAAGGTAGACACGTTCGCCAGTCATAGGGTGAATCAGAGTGCAGCGGAACATCGTCAGACTGTGCCATCCTCCCTCTGACAAAGCTCGCTTATTGCGGCAGCACCTGCCCGTTGAACCACTTTGCGCCGACGAGGTTTTTCTAGCTTTGCCCATGCTCGCCGTTGATCATGCGCATGTCCAAGCCACCTCCAAGAGCAGATGCAGTAGCGTTATCGCGAAGGACATTTGCAAATCGAGGGCTTCATGGCCACCATCAAATACTTCCGTCGAAGTGGGCTGATACTTGCGCTGCGCATGTGTCAGATATTCAATCTCGGAGAAAGCAGAGGTACAAAAAATTCCGCACCCTCTCGCGCGGACGGACTATTTTGGTCGGCGCTGCGAGGCGTGACGAGTATGCTACATCCGCGCATCCGCTCACTGACCGTAGACAGCACGACTGTCAAGAGAAGTGCTGTTGCGTGCAAAGGGCAGAGCGCGCGCGGGGGGGGCCTGGGGGGGGGAGGGCCTATGTTCGTAGCTGTGATCCAGTGCAGGCGCGGTCGTCGGTACCCATGACAGTTCGCGCGTGTATACTAGCACGCATTCTGCGAGTCGCCCCATCTGAGACCTTTGCGTTGGGCTATGATGCACGGTTGCAGCCTGCGGCAAGAGATCCTTCTCCCTTTCCAAGGACGTCCGCGTCACCTTCGGCCGATGAAGTCGTTGTGAATGCAGCTTGCTCGATGATGCGCTTCGGCAGTCTTGAATTTTTGCAGCGGATCAGCAGTCTCTGCATTTGCGGTGACACGCTCCTGCATTCTACAGTCGCTGGGTAGTGCATGATCGATGCTCCACAGCAGCCCGCAAGAGCGCCGCCCTTGCCTGCGTCTGTGGCGGGGCGCTGCTCAATGCAATTGTGAGTGCATACATGCATGTGTCACGCAACAAATTTTGCGTGCCGACAAGCCCCACTGCGCCCTTGATATGCGCTAAAATGGGATAGGCGCCTCTCCTGTCGTGCGCGGAGATATGGACTCCAAAATGCGTGCAATTAAGTGCCTTTCCCGCCCGGTGAAACGAATTGATCTCGCGCCGCGGTCGCAGCAGCAGCATCAGCTATCGCATGCCGCACCACGGCAAGACGCGCGCGACACCTGGATGGCAAACTGGTCCAGTGCCCGGTTGCACAATCAGCACACCTGCAGTCCCAGCTGAGCTGCGAAAGCCTCGATTGCTCGTGACTCCTACCCATTCCGGAGCTGTGGCCCAAGTCCTCATAAGTCGGAAGCACGACGAGAGCAAGGTCAGGAAGTGATCTCCTCACCACCTCATCAGTCGCGATCATCGCAGCTTGCCCCCCCCCCCGCTTCGGCTCCCCCTGCTTCGTCTCATCACAGACAGAGTGAGTTGGCTCCTTCTCATTGGTCACGAATGCGACACTCAGGCTGGTGTATCAGTCAGGCCGGTCTAGCATCGTCGATGCTCAGCCCTTTGGCTATGTCTAGCCTGCCGATACTGGTTCGCCGGCCTCTAGATGCCTCATCCGTAGTCTGTTTGGCACGGACAGGAGACTCCTCCCGCTACACAGTCCAATCCATTCTCGTTTTCAGAGACGGTTGGCCTGGGCGTGTCAGGACTCTCGCGCGCCAAAGAAAAATAACGTTGCTGTGGTGTCCCACCATTCCTTCGTTGATGAAAGCTGACCAGTGTTGGCGTCCCCCCTTTTGACCCCTTTCCGCCTCCAGCCTAGTCCGCTTGAGTTCTACTCGCGAAACGGTCTCGTCGTCAAACCCTCTCGACTTGCATTTTGCATCACCGCTCAAACCGCTTTGATCCAATTTACATCGTCTACCAACAACCAAAGTACGCTCGAGTTCAACTCGCGGAAATACATCTTCGTCCTATCATCGAAGCAGTCGATCCACTTCCGCCTCATCTAGAGCACTGAAGCAGCGGTATACCAAGTCGATCCCAGTACTGACGAGGTCCGGCACCGTCGTCGAAAGATCACCTGCACAATTCTTCTACTCTGTACTCTCGCGCGCGTTTCACGTCGCTGCATCTGAGCAGAGATTCTCAACAAGCCATCCAATCACACTCACCTGTCACCTGACAAGTGGACGTTCATCCCCTCGCTCCAAGGACCTCGACTTCGCACCGAAACACATCTCTTCACCGATTCCATTCAGCCCAGATCAACAATGTCTGCGCTTCCTGTCCCATCTGGTCGCGACCGCATCAACTCGATTGCGAGCTTCAGCTCTTTCGAAGGCAACCTCACCCCATCATCAGTGGGCGCAAGCAAGGATGCTCAACCCATCGCCA